CGCCCCCGCGCCCCCGCCCGCGCTTCCACAGGTTCACTCCTATTTATCTTCAGCCCACACTGCCACACCGACTATTGATCCACATTATACATTTCATTTCTACAAGTTAATAACATGGACACGTCATTATTCTATGGTATCTCTCGGATCTCGACCGAAAGACGAAAATTTTGGACCGAAAGATTTGTTTGCACATAACTCTTAGTTGATACAAAGAGTTGAGTAATTGCTGCGTACGAAATTTTGAGTGACTAGTTCGACAGCGCCATGACTTCCTAATCATACATGATATGTCAGAAAGTTTGCAAATGGTGTGATTGTGCTCGTCGAACTTCTGCAATCACTGTTCAAGCAAGCTTACTGCAAGCATTACGCGAATGTGCAACTATCTGATGGCCTTGTATGTGTCTATCTGAAAATAGCCTGTTCTTCAAGCAAATGAAACACCCTTGATGCGTAACAAAGAAACATAATAAATCTGTTGACATTAGCAATATCTGTACACTTATACAACAGCATTGTTGTTGCTCAGTATTGGCAGAATTGTTGTAACAGTGTATTGTGACGTGTGAGAGATGGCTAGTGCTAGAGTTACGAGGCGGCGAGCATTCATGCCATATGTTTGTCCGCGCAGCCTCGCAGCGTCATCTCCAGCAGCTTCAACGGGCTGCCACTGTCACGACCCAACTACGGCGCCACTGCCAACTCCGCTCCAGAAGAGTACAAGGTTATTACTGTAATCTTAATCCTAATATTATAAATGCTTAATGCTTAGTGTTTGTGTGTATGTTTGTTACTCAACCACGTCAAAACGGCTGAAGGTATCGGGTTGAAATTTGGAACAGGGATACATTATAGTCTGGGATAACACATAGGCTACTTTATATCCCACGGGGACGCGGGCGCAGCCGCGGGCAGTAGCTAGTTACTTATAGTTGTTTATAACTTGTATACATTTTTTAAATATGTTTTTGTTTTGTTACAGAAGTCACTAGATGAAAACGGCAACTCAGTACAAGGATTCAGTTCACCTCTTTCGGGATCTAGTCAACACAAAAAACCTAGGAGGAAAAAGTCTTCAAAAAATGAGACCGTTATCGACTGCCAGCAAATTGACGGCTACCAAGGTGATAAGGATGTAAACGAGCTCTTGCGATTTATAGAATCGAACGCAGACAATGGTCGCGGTCCAAAACTAGGACGGGTCAAGCACAAGGATGACTCCGACGACAAGAGCGGCAAAAAACGCTCCACCGAGCGACGTAAAGATAAAGAAAATAAAATCAAACGCGCTACCTCCATGGAGGAACTATCTCGCACCAAGATAGAAGACCTCACCGACGCGACCGAGTCCCCACTGCGCAGCGACAAGAAGGAGCGCCGCGGCGACGTACCCAATAAGGCAGAGCGACGCTCTTGGGGAGACGACGCGAGAGACACCATACTCTACAACGACCATCCCACTGACAGCCCCGTCGCCGCCGCAGAGCTCACAGACTTCCAGACCGTCACAAAGAAGCGCAAGCCGCGCCGACGCACTGACGAACCAGAACCCGCTCCGCGACGCACGAGGCCCCCCTCGCCACGTCCCCGTCGCGAGTCCGCGCCCCCCTCCGACCGCAGCAACGACTCCAACGACGACATGGACTCTGTGCACTCTCTGCCCAGCGCCCCGCCTGCGCCCCCCGCCGCGCCCCCGCCCGCGCAGGCCTCCTACGCCGATATCGCGCGCACGCGCCACAACATCCCAGACCTCATCGAGTCCTGCAACTTCTACGGCGACGGCGTAGCTCCGCCCGCCACTGCTCCCGCCGACGCAGACGGGTACCCCGCGCTGGACGCGCGCCAGGCGGCCCGGCGCCGCGACAAGGCGCCCCCGCTGCGTCGCAAGGAGCGCGCCGCGCCGCCGCCCGACAGCGCCG